TCCTATGATCAGGAACGTTTAAGATGTGTCTACGAAAGAATGGTCTCATGAATCTAACTTCTTTAGATTGCATTCTCCCAATCACATATTCCTTGGACTTATCGTTTAAGCATATAACATTTATATGAGACGGCTTAAACAATAACCTTTGCCCTTTATATTTAAACTACGTTAGTTTAACTTGTGAAATGTCCGTAAAGTATCATCATATGATTGGTTTTAGGGCACATTTCCAACACGCCTAGTTTCGTGGAGCGTCTCAAAGAGATTCTCATACTGCTCCTAGAGGACCTCATTCTTCATTGCTATCTTGTTGTTCTGAGCATCGACTTTAGCTTGAAGAGCAACCCTTTTTCGTTCATTCTTTCGTTGCTTCACACTAGGTGCAAGAGGGGTGTCCTTCGCTCCCCATGTTGGAGAGGTGCCTAGTCAAAAGAGAGTGTACGAATGGTGGAAACCAACATAACAAAGCTGAAGAGAGTGGGAATAAGTGTCGTTCCCACAGACGGCGCCAAATGTTGATGCACAAAATCAGTGAAGACTTTGGTACAACAGAAAGTGTTAAGTTTGTGACCTTCGCTAGATTGCTCCGGTCATTAGTGTGGATAAGTATGTATATGGATAGAGACAGGGAAGCAAACACAAGATGTATGTGGTTCACCCAAATTGGCTACGTCCATGGAGTAGAGGAGTTCTCATTAATTGTGAAGGGTTTACACAAGTACATAGGTTCAAGCTCTCATTTAGTGAGTACAAGTGAATGATTTAGTACCAATGACATTCGGAAATATTGTGAGAGAATGATCTCTATTTATAAAATAGAGTTTCTAGTTTCATTCTGACATTGACACGTGTCGTGTTGTGATTGGCTTCTGATGTTGACACGTGTTGCACTATGATTGGCTTCTGATGTCGACACGTGCTGCGCGCTGTGATTGGCCTCCTGGTTGGAGGGAAACTCTTCTGGGTCCTTGACGTAATAACGTTGACCGGTGCTCAGTAGTTTCGGGATTGGTCAAGTATGGTACAAACAACTACCACATTAATCAACACTGCATCAAAATTTCAGTGATAACAATTGAGCCGTTTAGAGGTAAACTGTCATCATATTGCATATGGATGAGTATCTGTTATATATATATATGTTGATAGATCGTAGATACACAACTTGGAAGGAATGTAGAATTGGTTCGCGCGGATGGGTTCGAGTTAGGAGAAATGACTTCTTAAGTGACTCAAGGTCAGCAGTCCAAATGAAAAAAAATATGGGACCCAATGATAGATGAAATTTTTTAAACTTTAGCGTTGAGGAGAGAAGTGGTTATTTATAAAATTTTCATGAGGTAGTTCACTATAATAAAAATTTATGGTGGAAATTGATATTCACTTACAAGTGTATGGAGTGAATCCACAAATATTTCTTTTTATTTTTCAATACAATATTCGTTTTGGGTTGGATTAGAATTTTTATGCAAGTTTTTGAATCTAGAGATGCAAATCCAATCTCCCCAATCATCGAATCCTATCTGCGATAATATTTTTTTAATAACAAATGATATTATCTACGTATTAAGGAAAGATACTGAATTTAACCTCACAATGAACTATCAATAATATTGTTTAATTCTAGAATAAAATTGGAATTTACAAGTTTACAGTGCATGTATTGGAGCAGCACACTGTGTAGTTGGCAATCATAATTTTACAAGTCATGACACGATTTGACTCTTCAATATCCTAGTGTCTGATGTAAAATATTTTTGTTCGTTTTTAATAGAATTCGTAGCGTTGAGACACATAGTAGAAAGAAAAAACCTTGTATAAGAATACTTATGTTGAATTTGAACCAATATCTGTTGATGAAATGTATATTTTACTTTTATTTTTTGGAATAAAATTATTGAGCGAGATTAGCTCAACAGTCGCTTGCATGTGACTTGGAGCTTGGACCTTGAAGGAGGAGAGAAATAAATAAATACATCTTTTTCACCACGCGTGCCGGTTACTTGTAAAAAATGAGAATCATATGGAGTAATGTTATTCATACTATATTTTTATATCATATTTCTATATTATTTTAGATGATATCTGATGTGGACATCCACATCATTTGAAAAATTTGCAAAATCCAAGGAAATAAAGAAAAAAGATTCTTTATATATCACAATCATAATTTAATTAACTAGTTTTTCTTAATTATTAGTTTATTAAATAATGAACTAAATTTTAAAATATGATTAATTCAAATGATGTGGCTGTCCACATCAAATGTCACCTAAGACGGTATGAAAATATAATACAAAAACATGATATAAATAGTATTACTCGAATCATATGATATTTGGATCTCGGTGCTAAGATCCAGATTTAACCTGAAACTTGAGTCCATCATGTTAGATTTACTAGGAATTTAATTGCCAATGAATGTACTAATGATTCTCAAGATTCCCCCTCAGGCCCTTACCCACATCCAATCATAACTTTACACATAAATTAATACAGTTTATAAACAATATTTCACACGGTACATCCTGAGTTTGATTATTGATTTTGATGAATTGCACAATGATGGTCAAGGAGACTGAAATGTAAGTTATGTCAACCCTGAAAGAATGGATTACCATGATGACGTGACCGTCAACTAATCCCTCTTTAAAAAAAAAAAAAAAAAAAAAAAAAAAAAAAACTGTTTATAAACATATAATTGAGATTGAAGTAGATCAGCATTTGAGAGCACCAAGTGGTGGGGAGTGGTCCCAGGTGTGACAAAAAGGATGGGAACTTTGTGTGAATGTTGAGGTCCCACACCAACATACCAACCCCATATTAATCAACATATCACTCCCAATGCATCTCTTTCCATTTTGTTTACGAGACGTCCATTCTAAGCTGACGATGCCACGGATTCCCAACTCTTTATTCTATTATTTCATAAATTAAATGATGTATATGTGTGTTAATTTCTGGTTCATTTATTCTATCGCTCTGAAATTGTCATTTGATCTCATTTTATTTTATGAAACTAAATTTGTTTCAGTTTATCATCTGATTTGTTAAAGTTGATCTATTTTACTCCATTTGTGTTTACAATGGTAGAGATTTGATAGTTCCAGATGTTTAAAGTGGTCTAAAAATTTCATTCCTTGTCAACAATGGCTCATCTCTACCAACATAATATAAAATGTCTAGACTGCCCTTTCATTTAACGTCCATGAGACATAATTGACAAAAATAAGGTGAAATGACTCGATTTTGGTAGTTTTAGAGGATAAAGCATGACAAATTCAGTTATTGAAAGTAAAGTGCTAAAAAATAATTTCAAGACTAAATCAATAAATAAGACTTATTTCCTCCAACTATTAAAAAAAAAAGAAAGAAGAAAAAAAAAAATTAAGAAAGTGAGACTTGGTAAAACACAAAGATGACCGCCACTGGTAGTCTATTTGTTTTTGTCTTGTTTCTTTAGGAAAATACAAGCACCTGTCGCTAGATTTTGCAAGTACCAAATGGCAATAGGTTAATATGCATTGAAAGCCTTTGGCACAATTGAAAGAAAAAGTGCTAACCAAGTGACCTTTTCCACTTTCTTTAGGCCTACTCGCTTAGTTTTCTAACCACATAAAGTTTCATATTAAATATATACATGGACAGGACATTTGCAAAATATTGAAAGTTTTGGTTAAATTTACTTTCAAACGAATTATTAGACCTTAAAAACGAACAATTCTCACAATTGTAGATTCATATAATTCGATAAAGACATTTATACTTTTATTAAAGTGTGAACATTCTCAAAAAAATGACGTCTGTAGACTTAAAGTTTGTTGACTGTCCATTGTATGTGTATATGCAAGATTTCAAAAGACGTTAGACGCTAATTGAGCAACAGATTGGAGCCTAATACCTAGGCGGCTAGAGGAGGGCTTAGGCGGACTAGGCGGGGGATTAGGCAGCTTTAAATAGATTTATTTAGTATCGTTTAAAGAAGTGTGTATCTATACTTCAAAACTACATAATTTCATTGAGATACATAAACTGCAAAATAGGATAACATATAGATTATAAAGTATTAGGACATAATGACAACATGAGGCACAAAACATATAATGTGTGTTCATCTAAGCATTTAACAAGTCACTTACAATTTATTGAAAAAGCAAAATGTAAAATAAAAGTTATCAATTTTCTGTCTATATGAGAGTCGTATCCTAAGCAGGTGTCTAGACAGGTCTGGGCAAGCTAGGCAGCCGACTAAGCAGATCTGGTGTCATTTCTTAATTTTCAAACGCCTAAAGATTAATCTATGCGGTGATCAACCGTCTAGCGCTTAGACAAGGTCTAGGTAGTGCTAAGTGGGAATTTTTAGAACAATGTGTGTGTATGCAAATGTATATAGAGAAGCCTAGAAGGTCTAAACATTCACAAAAAAGTCTTTTGCAACGCATTAATATGGGTAATAATTGAGGTGGGGGAGAGGAAAGGATGGGTCCTTGGCTTCGACATTAGAAAGCAATCCTACAACCCAATTGCAGAAAATATAAAAACCGGAATTCAAGGAAAACCTACCAATTAGAGTAAAAATCTTATAATAGTGCTCAACTTTACCAAATTAACTTGTTGCATATACTTAAATGCTATGACAACCGTGCATATGCACCAGAGTACAGTATACCTTGATCGTCGGTTTTGCGACTATTAGATCATTTGTCCCACATCCAGCCTTCCATTGCTTTGGTAGAATTCGGTATATTCCATCCATTCATTCATCATAAGAACTTGTCATTGTGGCTGTGGTGCTAGCTACCCTTGTCCAGTGTTCACTAGTTGCCTCTACGTGGTGACTTTTGCTTGCTTACAGAGTAGGAAATAATGTTGAATTATTAGTGTTTCATTTTTATTGATAGCCTTTTTTAGGCCGAATTCGGAATACAACATTGGAAAGAAATATATCACTCGTAAAACCAAATATAATGTAGAAAGCTTATTAAAAGGCTCACAAGTGAGAGAATCTAAGAAAATTGCAATATTATAAAGCTTTGGCCAAAGTCCAGTTGCATGATCCGTAAAACAAATGCACCCACAGACCTTTTTTACAATTAATTTTACATAACCATACATACATCAGCTAGCAGCCTAGAAGCAACACAAACCTGCGGTAGTACTATTATGTAAACAACGTCCATGGGGGCACGCAATTGAGGAAAATGATGGATTATCTTCATCCCTTCGGCTTGCTTTGTTTGATCAGGCAGCCGCCACAGTCTGACCCTTGCCGGAGGAGGCCTTGGAGGTGGATCGTGACGCCGCATGGCGGTCCTCTATCTTTGAGGACGCAGCTTTACACTTCTCTTTTCTCTCATCCTGCTTCATCTGTTGCTCTCTACATTCTAGACTACAAAACGCTGTGTCTCCCCTGCACAAAATTTTCAAGTCAACTATCAGAAATTGAATAATGAACTAGTGTATGTAATATTCCTTGTTTTTAACATTGGAAATCTCTAACTCTGTACCTAGTATACTCTTGCCTATTATTCTACCCACCCGCACCACGGGGCTTTCAAAATCCAATTATCCTCATCATTTAATAAAACCCCAACAATAAAATTGGTGTTGTTCTAACATCTCCAAAAAATATTAGTCCATGATATTTTTCGGATGTCAATAATAGTTTCCTGATATACTTTCTATGACTGGAAATCTGACAGTACCCCCTTGAAATCCCAAAAGAAAACAAAAAGGAAGAGACTGAAAATCCAAAAATCAAAGAAAAACAGAAGAATAATGGAAAGAAAATATGACAAATAATATTAAACTAAACTAATATTATAAGATGGAATTTTAGCTAGGATTAATATTATTACCTATACATATAGATGTCACGGCCTGAAGCGAGCTGGCGCTTGCAGAGGCCACATGTGCGAAGGAAGTGAGCGGTCTCCACAACATCATGAGATGGGGAATTCCTCCTTGTGTGGTTGTTTCTGGGTGATAACATGGCCAAGAAACGGTGCTCTTCATGGTACCCTAAGTTGTTCATGTTCATCTTTTCAATATCATAATAATTATTATTATTAATCACAGGAGCAGGTCCTTGTGCGTCCACCACCGTCGCTGCAACTGCAACTGCATGCACATCGTTCATGGCGGCGGGGTTTTGGAGTTCATCAGTCGGTTCCTGGCCTTCCACGTCGCTCATATCAACGGTAATCCCAGTCATGCTTGTTGTTCTCCTGATTGGAGGGCGTGGGCGCTTCCCTAACAGCATTTCTTAAATGATGTAATTTTCTTCCGAATGTTTCTTCAGCTCAGAGAGAGAGAGAGAGAGAGAGAGAGAGGGGAAGGAAGATAAATGAGATTGGGAAAGCGTGAGAGTGAATCTGGGCCGTTGATGGACACCACTGAGTACAAAAACTCCACGTTAGCATAACTAATGCGCCATCTCTTTCTCTTTTGTTTTTGTCTCTTACTTTATGGTGTTTTTTTTAAAATTATTTTTTTATCGCAAATCATCATTCTTCCTTTTCTTTTTTTTTTTTTGTTTTTGGTAACTATCATCATTCTTCTTTATCAACTCATCTGTTCGGTTTTTTATATTTCAAACCCATTAATTTTTTTATTTATCTATTATCTCACTTATCATTAATTTTGTTGCTTTATGTTATAATGCTTGTGCGACGCATATGTTAAACACACATAGGCAAACTAAACAAAAAGGGAAGGAGTTAATCAAATAATAGCCAAAGAAAATAAAACAGAGTGCGAGAGCCCGGGTGAATGGGGAAATCTGGGTGGTTGATTGATTAGTCTAGTGGTTTGGTGGGAGGTGATGGTGGGGTGGTGGGGCAAGGAAGAGAGCAGAGAGATGTAGGGTGCGCGAGGAAAGGGGACATTTGGGGATGGTGGTGGATTCTGGTAGAGAGAGTGAAACTGACTGCTTCTGTGGGTGGGTGCTATAGCCTGTGGTGGTGGGGGAAATCGTAAAGGGCGGCTGGACGGTGCCGTAGAGTCAGAGGTGGGCGGGTTTAATTTTTAATTCAGTTTTACATTTTATTATGGAAAAATTAGTATTCGGTCTTGAATTATTAATGTTTATTTTCTCTAATTACTAATGTTCATTGACTGATACTTTATCAATTTTTAGATTTTGATCGAAATCACAGCATTAATGTATGAAAAAATTTACATGTCCGTTATATAATGTTTTTAAATAAAAATTATTAATTATTTGAGGGTTTTAACACTCACACCCTTATTAAACTCCTAATTAATTTTCAATTAAAAAACATTTCCAAAATAAATATAAAAAAATTAGAATAAGTTCATATCCATTAATTTTTCTAAAATAATTTTCAATTTTTTAATCTTAAATGTACCCATTCATATAATTTTTCAATTTTTTTCTAATCTTAAATGTACCCATTCTTACATATACCACTTTGTTATGTAAAACATACAATATTTTAATATAAATGTAACCATTTTTTTATATAAAATCCATGGAACTTTTTTTTAATCCATTTTTAAGCTTATATGGGTACATTCTATTTCATTGATTTGAGAATGTATCCATGTCAGATATAATAGAAGAAATTTAATGTTATTAAGCCAAATATCTTTTTATTTTTGTGTATTTGAAAAATGTACCCATGTTTTGGTATAATAATTTTTTAGTTAGTTTTGATTAACGTACCCATGTTTATATATATATATATTAGAGGGTATAATTTATCCTTTAATAATATATAAACCACTACAAATTTAACTTTTAATTTTAAAATATAATAACCTACCTAGAAATACATTATTACATTAATAAAAGGGACTTCCAGCAAAAACTGAAAACCACAAAAGTTTTTGTCAAATAACATTGATAGTTAGTGGCCGCATTCAAAGTCTCAACTTTAATTATCTTACTTTTTTTTTAGTTTGTATAGTTTTTAAAAAACTTAAATGAGTTTTTTTTTTCTTTAATTTTAAATCTTAAAATAATCCATGTGGCATAATGTAATAGGTCTTGTGGGTGCCACACTTAATAATTTTTTTTAATGAAATTGGATGGTAATGTCTACATTGATGAGTGAAACAATATATGCGCGACGATAATGATGAGTCCAAAATATAGAAGACCAAACTGATGAGTTGATAAAAAATAAAAAATCATTTATGATAAAACCTCCTTATTTTATGGTTTGCTTTTCATTTATGAATTTTCTAAAATTTTTTTTAATAAAAGATAGTATCTATACTAAGGGGGTTAGGGGAATGGGCGAAGCCTTACAATGGGTTTGCCATAATAATGTGGTTCAACTTCGCCTTTGGTGAGAATTGAACCTAAGACCTCTCACTTATAAGTGATCACTAAACCGTAGTACTAAGTAGCTGGATTTTAAATCACTGGCGTATTGTGGAGCCTAAAACAATCCTAAAAATTCTAGAGGCAACAAGTGGACTTTTGCTCAAGAAAGATAAGATTGCTCTCAATAAATGGGCAGGCTTCTCATATACTCCCACATGCAGCTCACACCCCTGAAGGTCTTAGCAGCTGAATACGACTGCCCACAACTCACCTGCGCTTGGTAAGGAAGAGTCAAAACATTAAATATAAGGATTAATTACCCAAATCCTATCTTTAATACATTCCCAATTGAAGATTGACTCCAATCAAGAAAGTAATCCCAATTTAAATCAATTAGGGATAATACTCCATTATCTTAAGATATTATTTCCTATTTAATATCTTGAGAATATTTCTCCATAAAAATTGGCCAATAGGATGCCGCCACGTGTAGGGTAAAACCCTAACACTATGGCCGGCCTTCTCACCTATATATACCCCATATTCTACCAAATTTCAGAGGCTTTTGCTACCATAAAAAAGCCCTAAACATTTTACTCTCTCAGAGAAACTGACTTAGGGATCGAAGATCCATTGGCCTAACCCCCCACCTCGTGGGCGCGTGAGGCTTAGGTCCTTGATCAAATGTGTTAATTGTTTTCCAGGTGCATTTTCGTCCAGACTGAAGACGATGTAAATTTGCATCAACAAATTGGTGCTTTCATTAAGAGCTGATTCAAATACTCGAAGAAGCCTATCACATTTGGTTTCTTGAATTTTCTGTTATGTTGAATTTCTTACATGTTGTATCAATTAATTTTTCCTAGAAAAGTTTATTGATCAATCTTTGGAGAAAGGATACAGTGGTACAAAATTCAGAAACCACGACGAACGGAACCCCGTACGTACAAGGATTTGGACCGGAAAGTGGAGACGAGGACATAACCCCACGACGAAGATTCTTAACGCTCAGCATAACGGCAGGAGGAGCCCTACCATCGTGGAGCTGCATCACCACCACTACCGTGACCTAGCAACCACTGAAAGGCCACCAGGCCATGGCCCAAGCCCCCATATTGTTGCCCTTGCAGCACATAGACCATCAAAATCTTAGGCAAGAGGCCCAAGTCCACGAAGCCAATAGCCGAGCCCAAAAACCCCAAGCCATAGCAGCTGGAGCCCAACCAGTAACCCAAGCAGCCACGACCCAATCCTAGCGCCAAGCCTTGCTTGCTGTAGATGTAGCCCAAGCCTAATGCTAGGAGCATGCGTTGGCTAGTGCATAGCGCAGGCCCAAGGCCAGTTGTCACACACGCGAGCCCAGCGTGCCCACAAGCACGGCTCGACACCTAGCTTGGTAAGATCGCCCCACGACCCACTTTGACAACACGGCCCGTGGCCCAATCCAATCCAAGGCCATCTCCGACGATCCAGATTTTGACCACCAGTCCTGCCGTCGACTCAGGGTTATTTTCACCCAATTTTTCTGTAAGTATGCCCGCTTTGGGCTCAAGCTTTGTACCTATAGTCCACTACGCTTCCACCACACATGAAGGCGCCCATTATCCAGACTCTTCCAATCCAAATGGTGAACACCACTTACCCTAGTAGGTCACCAATTTGACGAGCACCCTTGCGCAGCAGACCACTTAGGTGAACCAACTCCTTGAGCATATCGAGAAGCAGCGCACCCTAGATGAGGTCTTCCGAAGCAGGACAAGGATGGAAGAACGTGACTTATTCCAACAACGTCCCAATAAAGAGTCGCTCAGCCCGCCATGAACCGTGCGCTCGGGTAGTATGCACTTTCGTTTAGGCCCCCTCAAAAACGTCTTATTCCGCCTGGCTCAGCTCATAAGTTAATGTACATTCAAGGTTGGGTCCACACTCTGACGAGAACTGAGGACATTCTAGGTGAAGCATTCACACAAGGCTAGGCCCACAAGGACATCCTCTTACGAGGCACTAGAGTAGGCAACCATATGATGGGCAGATGAGAGCACGAGTGTAGTCCAACTCAAGTTCTATTAGCAACACTCGTTAAGCGTGATGGCGAGCAACATATAATGAACCCCGTACAGCATAGACAAGCAGGACATGCTAAAGAGCAATATGGACCAGCAAGTCAGCACTAGGGGTAGTTGGAGGCTCCGCTACTCCACCAGGCGTAAATCCAGGAGGAAGTACAAAGGCTCTTAGCAGAGCTGCTGTGCGGATTCCAGTGCATTGATATCACCGACTAGGGTGGAAATTTTTACCAAATTACCGTACCAACAGCTCTACCAACCGTACCATACCAAATTATTACCAAAAATTTGTACCAATTGGTAATGGTACGGTACTGGTATCCAAAACCAGTACCGGTGGTATACGGTACCTACCAATACTTTTAATATTATATTATGTATTTATTCATATAATTATTTGAGGGAAAAATTAATAAAATTAATAATAATTATTGTAGAAGTGTAAAAAATGTAAAAAAATAATATATACAATCACTCATAGTGACAAGCTTTACAACTTTCATGAAGGGGTCAGCTTCAAAATCCAAAAGTATAATCCATAAACCTTAAGTTTATTCTTCTTACTGAATTTCTTTTTTAATTTTCTTTTTTGAAAACATGATCATCTGACGGATGTAAGAAGATGAAAGGTTCAGATCTTTCATATCACGTTTCGATATTTACGGTTAACTGAAATATGGGTCGATGTCATATAGTTTGTAAAAATTTATAAACATCAAGCAATATTTTCACTAACTGTAAAACTCTAAACATAAACGATCCAAACCGTTCATCTTCCTGCATCCTCTAATAGATCATGATTTCAAAAAAGAAAATCTGAAAAAAATAAAAACAAAATTTAATGAGAAAAATGAAGCGTAAATGTAAACAATAATCAACGGTTAAATTTTGATCTATGATTTATATAATTATAATGGTGAATTTCAAAGTTAAGCTCTTCACAATAGTTGTAAAGCTTGTCATTAGAGCATTTATATCTTTTTT